CAATTTTTTAAGTTTACTAGATGTAAGGCAACTTTTAATTTTCTTTATATATTGCATGCTTTAGTTTTAATTGTTTAAGTTAAGTTGTAAAGGTGAAAATAGGCCTCCTGGGCAACCGAGCACATTAAAAAAAATCGGTAACGCGCGTAAAAGCATACCTCACAAGTGGTGTGGAAAATGCAAGAACAAATATAAATGGAATAATTTTCGAAATTATGAAATGGTTATTGGTATTTTCCATCTCAAAGGGGGTGATTAATTTGAACGTTATTTAAGCTGCCTTTTTGTCGTTTAACCAAAATCTACCCGTGTAAATTGCAATTCAACCGTAAAATGTAAGCGTTTTGGCTAGTCGATATCAGTAAATTTTCCAGTCGACAGAAATCGACCCGTGAAAAGGCAACTTCAGGAATTTTTAAATTTTCTTTTTTTTTTTTTGCTTGAGCGTCTTTTGAAGATGTGCCAAATTATATTGTCGCCTTAAATACAAAACAACAATTTCTTTAAGCCATCTTGTGCAGCAATTTGTTGATCTTATCCTCACGGCTACCGAAATCACCAACCTCAACGTAGTGATTAGCCTTCTTGCGCCAGCCTCGGGTTGATGTGTTGAGCTTGAATAGCAACAGGAAGTTGGGGGCTTTCTTGAAGTGAAGTGAATCAACGCGCTTCGCGAAATTTGCGTTCGATCACAAAGCAGAGATTGGGACACGCTTGACCATTCCACGTTTGTACATCAATTCACAAACTGATTTAAGATTTGGATAACCCCATATAGGGGTTCGGCATACGTAGCATATTAATGGTTGCCTTGCTCAATTTGATGAACACACCGTTTTAATGTGGCGAAGACAGAACTGTAAAACTACGCACTTTTTGTGCAACTTTGTTGATACCGCGGATGCGGATCACAAAAGCCAATTTGGATTTTTCAGGCCCGTCGAATTGGCCGCATTTCTTTGCCACACAGCGTTACTCCATCTCACGGCGTCCATCACGGAGTTTTCTTGTTTGATATTTCTCAGCATGCACCAAATTTTCACATTTACGGAGTGCAATCACAGCAGAGCGCTTTAGTTTACGTTTGATCAGGGTAGCAATTTGCTGACCTGCTCTTGCTGAACTGCAGCTTCGGCTCGGGGACAGGAGGCAGCTTCCTGGAAGGTTGTCTGCCCTTTGCTAGCGGTTTCTTACCGGCCCATGATGGCAGTCATCTTAACTTGTTACTTAGCACGTTGAAAAGGCGAAAAAAAGTTCGCCAAATGTTTGGAGCACATCGTAAATGAGCCACTCGATTTATAACATTTCTATAAACAATTTAATTAAATACTTTTTATACATAGATATGCTGCAACCATGCACTTACTTTCCCAAATTCCATCCTGTTTATCGGCATAATTTTCCAAATATGCCAGCTACTTCATTACTAATTACTAAATTTTCCAACTGCGCCTTCTTTGTTGGCTCGACATATCCTAAAAAGACAAATTTACATTAAACAATAGAAATCGCAAAAATTAGTAAATAAAATACTTGCTTTGTTTTGTTTTGTTGTCAAATTTCTGAGAAATATGAATTCACCACGATGCGATACAGAAAGAACAAGGACCAGGGATGTAATTTTAAGTAAATCTATTATTCAGCGGCAAGGCGCAGAGCGTTCGGGGCAGCAATATTAATTTGTATCAAATATAACATTAAACGGTGGTTCTAATACATTTTTTGATATTATTAACCAGAGTACATACATTATATGGTATTTCTTTCAAAATTAATGTACTATATGAACTTTTTTTTCAAATATTTCTTAAGTTTCTTTCATGAGTGCTGAAAAGCAACCATGCGTGTAAGAAATTGTGTGCTACCTAAAATTTCACCTCTGAAAACTTTATCCCCATAAAGGACTTCACCACAGTTTTTTTACTGGATATACTGAGAGCCAAACGCTTACCTAGCAAGACTGCGCACTTGTTCAGCTTTTTATACTCGTTGCTGCGTATTTGGTTTGAGAATTCGTCGTGCGCGCTGTCCCGATGGTAGCTGGCGAACGAAGTGGCTGGTATGCTGCTAGCAGTGTTTTGCCTGATGCTATATGAGTGTGCCGAAGAGTGCATATGTACATTATTGCGTATGTAGGTGGTGTATGTATGTGCAGTGGAGTGTGTATGCTTCGTTTGTCGGTATGTATCGGAGAGTATGTATATGCGTTGTTATGTATGTACAGTGGTGTATGTATGTATGTATAGTGGGATATATATGTACCAGGGATGAAAAATGGAAATTTGAGATTGTACTTAATATCATAAAATAAATGTACCTAAATGAGACAGATTGTACCTAAAAAAGGGACATCATTCATTTGTAGTTTTTTTATAAATTTTATTTAAAACATGAATACAAAGGATGGATGTACTTTAAACATGATTAGGTTTTTGTTTTTTTAACTGAGCCTATATCTATAGAATGGGAATCGGAGAAGTGTTGTTTTTGTCAAATTTTGACTACTGAAAAATATTGGCGAAAAAGACAAAAAAAAAAAAACACTTTGCGAAGTATACTTCTTTATCCAGCAACAACGCGAAAAGTCTGCTAATTTATCCGATTCCTTTTGACAAGTCTAGAGAAAATAATCAAATTACCGTAAGTAACTTCGAAAGCATTTTAAATATATTTCCAGAAATCAAAATATGGGTCAATAATAATAATTGTACCTAAAATCCACTGACTGTACCTAATGTACCTTTAAGTCATCAAACGTCGAAAAAAGGTACGATTGTACCTACTTTTTCATCCCTGGGGTGTACGGTGGGGTACGAATGTACTCTATCGTGCTGTATACTATTGTATCGTAGTGAATCGCTACGTTACAAAGTAATAATTAAAGCATAAAATTTGAGATTTGGATAAGAATAAAATAAATAAATAATTCATGCAGTTATTAAATATTCTTAATTTTTGTCTATAGTTTGGCTGGTTTATTGATAATTGAAATTAATCAAATAATTATATAAATCGTGTAATTAAAAAAAGTACAAAATAATTAAAAATTATCAAAAATAACAAAATAATCATGTAATTAAAATTAGTGAATTCATTAACAATTTTTAATTAGTTATATTAATCATTAAAAAGGTGCTGATATTGGTATATAATCATTAAACGGTTATCCAAAAAATATGTTTTATTTAATAATCATTATGATTATTAATCATTATTTAACAGGTCTGGTATAACTACGGTGACCATAAATATATTTTGAAAATGCAGGATAATTTTCAAAAAATTTACCTACATATAATTGCGTAGTATAACAATAACAAAAATATACTGCATATATACATTCCTCGTCATTTGAATAGCGCAACCTTTTTTTGATTTTCTACCATACAAAGTATGCTTGACAAAATTTTTATATGGAGGAAAATGCGCAGCACCGTCAAAAAGAATTGTCGCCCCAATCTTTATTTTTTTCTTTTAATTTTCGAAAATTTTTAAAATGGGATGTAGACGTAAAATATGCTATATTTTTATAAAAAGTTAATGAATATTAAACAAACAAAAGGAAAACTGTACCTACTAAGTATTAAAAGGATGCGCTATTCAAATAACGAAGAGTGTATATTTCTTAATTATTAATCCCATTTTAAACTTTAAACATAAATCACATTTGCTTCATTAGTATTAATCTTTTAGTAATGAATATTTACAAAATTATAATAGGGCATATTACATATTACTTGACACGAAATATGAACCTCTGCAAAGCAAATTTTTTAGGCAAACTGATCGTTGGGTCGTTGAACACGAAAAAAGACCCATGGTTTCAAAGAAGTGTTTTCGAGATTTGTTCGAAAAACGTATTTTTAGTACTTTTTCAGTTATTCTTCAATATCTCATGAAACGACCAACAGTTCGAAAGGTATTGATGGGCTCTTTGCAAAAATATATATTTTTTGTGCAGATTGTGTTCCGTAACATCTACATTTCTCATCAGATTTTCATTTACTGTAAAAAGAAAATGATTGAAATTTAGATTTTTCGATTTTGGTCGCTTGTAACACTAATAATTTTCATCGAAATCGGCAAAGTAATATATTTTTGTAAGAGGACTGTAGGTAGCTTATGTTGATTGGATAATTTTTTCATGAGATATTGACGAATAGGTTCGAAATGTACCAAAAACACGTTTTTCGAAAAAATTACGAAAACGCTTGTTTGAAAGGAAAATTGGCTTGGAAAATATTTTTTTTCTTAAGCGATTACCACAAAATTTGTAGAACAGTGTTTTCGATATATTTGATGCTGGTCTTCAATTTCTCGTCATCCATTGTCCATAACCGTACAATATTTAGAACGCATTGACTAGTTGAACCTTCAAAACCAGCTTACCCTTATGTGACACTGCTTTTATTTCGATAAGGAAAAGTTAATCATAAAATATAGAAGAAAATGCGGGACAAAAGCAGGACACTTGGAAAAAATCAGTACATTTTGGGGGTTTTCTGTTTTGAAAAACTACGCAGGACAGACCTTTAAATAACAGTACGGTCCTGCAAAAAACAGAACGGATGGTCACCGTAGGTATAACTGAATATGTACTCGCTTTAATGGTTTACAATATATTCAAATAAAAGTTATATTTTGTGTACTTTATTTTATTAAACTGTCGAAGTCAAGCATGAACAAATCGTTTTGTACTTGGTACAACTCTGGTAATTTTCGAACTAGTTCGGTTTCAGTCAGGAAATTCTAGTTGTAAACTAGTATTTTTAACCGACTTCCAAAAAAAGGAGGAGGTTATCAGTTCGTCGGAATATTTTTTTTTTTGTTTTATGTATTATACCGCATAACTTTGGAGCACGTCAACCGATTTCGATAATTTTTTTTTTTTGCATCGGAAAGTTAGGGTCTCAGAGGTGGTCCCATACTAATCTGGTTTAGATCCGATCATTGGATCATGATATATATATATATATATATTTTTTTTTAAGTCGTTTTTATTTGCCAAAAATTACTTGTTCCAGTTTAGTTTGGGGTTTCACTGCAGGGTTATAGTCCAATTCCAACAATGTGAACAACATACAACTATCGCTTTGACTAGCGGGTAGTTATATTGAGTTTACATACGGTTTTAGTATTTTTTGAATTACATCCACCAATATGAAATACATTGAACTGGGAGTGTCCGGTTGGGAGCTTCAACCTCTTCTGAGCTGCTGACGAAATAAAGGTTTTTTGGGACCTTTGGTCAAGCAGTGCTCTGAGTTGAAACTCTTCTCTTCGATGCTCTATTGTCACTCTTTGTGCTGTGGGATGCGCGCTTAGTAAACACAAACAATTAACTTTGCAAACAAAACTATATACAAACAAGTAAGAAAGGCTAAGTTCGGGCGGAGCCGAACATTAAATACCCGGCGCAAGTATTAAATATATGTTTTTTCACCCTTCCGAAACCTTAGGCTAGATGGTAAGCCGAGTTGTAACAATTTTGAGTAAATTAGCGTCCTTCAATTTCGAAATATTGAAGTTTCAAGCATTTCTTAAATTTACCGTTATATGAGAATCGGCCGTTATATTAGTCCGATTTCAATAATTTTCAACATTTTGCTTACACGTGGCAAGTACAATAACCAAACCGAGTTTGGTACAAATTGGTTGAACGGTTAGCGAGATACATATATGTAATCACAAGTGGGCGGTGCCACTCCCATTTTCCAAAATTTTACCATAAACG